CCTCATAGCCAAGCTACTGATACACACCCTGCCTGCTGCAAAGGGAAGGCCTTTTCGTCCCTACTTCTCTCCTACATACTTAGCTTCTCCAGATAGCTTCTCATTTTCCATTAACCTATACCCTGTTTTCCTGAAGACCCCAGAATAAGTTACCAAAAAGCACATATTGTGCTACCTCCCATGGCTTTCTGAGGGACATGATTACTCAAGAAGCAAGACCCTGTCCCCTATCACTGGCGCCAGCCTGTACCCATTATAGCTTAACTAGAATAACACATGCTGAACAAAGAGAAATTGTCTGATGAGTGCTTGAGTCCTTTGATGTCCTTTGCACGAATGTAGCCCCCTGCCCCAAGTAAGCTGCCTAAGTAAGACGCTCACTGAGGGGCAATAAACCGGAGATGCCTGACTACTGACCAGAACTCACTGTCTGGCCTCTCATTCCTCTCGCCGACACTGCCCCTCCCTTGGGACACCTGGACCTGCCGAGGCTGGACACCGACACCCGACACGTGTTAACTGCATAAAGTATTTGTACAGCTTTTGGGAATTAGAGGCCAAATCCCTGTGAGGACTAGACGGAGTTCATATACATACAAAATCCAATGGATTTAGAAAAAAAAATGTGGTGAGCAATAAAACATTTCTCTGCCTCTTAGATGTTATAATATTTCCCAGACCTCATGAGAGATGAGGGCCAGAGGGAAGCAAGGGACAAGTTCATGGTGCAGTGCCTTCAAGTAGCCCTTCCCACATCCTCTAAAGAAAGGGAGGACGAGAACAGGGAAGGAAACCCAAGGGGGTCTGATGGCCATGAGACCAGGGCTGCAGCCCCCTGCATGCTCAGGGCCAACAGGGCTCACCCCATGAAGCTCCTGCCAGCCCAGGAGGCACGGGAGGGCCGGCAGTCCTGTCCGCAGGAGGACACTGCACTCTCCTCTCGGCCGGGACTGTCAGAGCCTTGCGCGTACAGCAAGGGGCAGCTCAGTAGCATCTCCAGGGGCAGTAGCACCTGAAGATCCAAAGCAAATCTGAGTGGGCAGTGCTAGCCCAGACCTGGCATTGGCCTGAAACACGACTACCTCCAGGGAGAAGGCAGAGACACAAATCGGACAGAAAACCAGGGCTCAAGACACGTTTTCATATTTTCAGCACTTGAGTTTGTGATCTGAAGCTCACACCCACCCAACTGTCTTCTCTTCCTACTTCCTTTGTGCTCCCAACTTTTTCTTTCTGCACCACTAAACTACGAGCCTCACGGGCCAGAAGCAGGAGGTTGACTGATCTGTGCCTCGTGCATATGTCTGGGCGCTCACGACAACTTCCTGAATTGGATTAGCAAACTGGGGCAGAAATGTGTTCCTGCTCCTTCTGAATGCCTCTGTCTCATTTCAGAACCGGCACAGTTCGCCTCTTTCACGGACGCCAACCCTGGAATGGAGCAGGTGACCCAAGTGTGCAAATTAGAACAAATCTTGGGCCACAGCAGAGCTTCAAACCAAAGCTGACCCGTCAGCATCTCACCAAGGGCTTGTGCGGAGCTGCTGGAATTCCTCTTCCAGGCACTTCCCTTTGGACTTGCTCCAAGATTTTGTCACCACAAGGGGAGAGCCTGAGAGCACAGCCATGCAAAAGGACATTGCCCCAGAGCTGCAGAGAGAATGGGGGCTCTGCTGGCCCGGTTGGAGCCCAGGACTAGGGAACAGCTAAAGCCACAGCAGCTCGGGACTGCCCAGTCACTTGGCCCATCACGTTTTCCCTTTCTGCTAAAGCCAATTTGGATCAGATTTTCTGACACATGCAACTAAAACTTGGTAAATAGTACATAAATCTTATCCCCAGAAGACTTTCTGCTGTGAACCCTATCAAGCAAGCAGAACTGAGCCAGTCAAGTAAGCAAATTCCACAGTTGAGAGCTGCTATTGCAAACATCCTGCTGTGGGGAAAGGTCGCAGCCTTTTTTGTAAACACGGAAAGGGGGCTATGGGACTTGGGAATTCAGATCTCGCTTGCAGGGCCTGTACACCACAGAGTGGGTCTCTAAGCCCTGTACACTGGGGGCTCAGCAGCCTGGTCACGGCCCGGATGCCTTCGGGTTCAGCTGAACTACACGAGACTCCAGATATTTTGTTTTAGCACAGACTTTATTAAATTTCTGATGAAGTCATATTGCCTGGTCATAGTTACGTATAGTGAATCTCTCTTTCAGAGTCAACAAATAACAATAACAATTTAGACATAACCCTCCGTTCCTGTCCTCAGCATCAAATCATGGCCCACCCACCTCTCTCCTGTGCCATAAGGGATACAGAGCACCATCTGCTCAGGAGGTTGGCATCAATCTGACGCTGAAGTTATGAAAATACAGGTCATTACTAAATAGGCCTTTTAACTTTTAAATCATAGTTAGCATCCGAACATTCATGAAAGTTTTGAGTCTCTTGAATCCCAAGGCGAAGCCAATTCTCTAAGAATACTCAAGTTTCCTCCTGAGAGAGAATGGCTGCCAACCTTGAGCTAAGAAACTTAGCTTAAAATTTTCTTTAAAAAGTGATTAAAACAGGGCGCCTGGGTGGCTCAGTGGGTTAAAGCCTCTGCCTTGGGCTCAGGTCATGATCTCAGGGTCCTGGAACTGACAAGTTGGGCGTTGGGCTCTCTGCTCAGTGGGGAGCCTGCTTCCTCCCTCTCTCTCTGCCTGCTGCTCTGCCTGCTTGTGATCTCTGTCAAATAAATAAATAAAATCTTAAAAAAAAAGTGATTAAAACATCTGAAAATGTCCTTAATAAGACAATTTTATTTTAAATTAAGTTTCTAAAATACTGGGAAGAAAATTTTTACTTTGGAAACCTCAAAAGCTTGAAAGGAGCTTAAGCTGTGGAAATGATTTACATATTAATCATGGGCAATAAACTAGGGGCTGGGTCACTGGGGCCAACTTGCCACCTGGGGAGAGAAACTGACCATGGTTAAGCACCCCACACCCACTTCTCAAGGTCAGGGTTCCCCTGATTTTCCTTCATATCAACAAGTACCAACAATGCTATGAGAGAGGCACCTACAGAAAAAGGTTCGAAGTTTAGAAAAGGTTTTCCAAATGCCCATTAATTAGATATTGACCAAAATATTAAGCCTTATAACTTACATGAAATAAAGGTTAATTCACTGAATTGATAAAACCCTAACCAAAATCAAAGGAACTAGAATGCTGCTAAGGAAATATACAGAATAATTAGATTAATTTTTTTCAAAGGAAACTTCATACATCTACGTAATTTTTAAGAAGGCTTTGGCATATCGCCCTTAGCTCAGAAGCCTTATTACAACATTACCGTCCTGAATGCCCCTGCCACTGCCCGACAACTAGGGACATTGTTTCTCAAGCGGATTCTGAGCTTTCTGTGGCCTTGGTTAAACTACTTCCTTTGACTCAAGGGGACAGAACTTGTCAGTTCCAGAAATCAAATCCAGTCTCTCTGGTCACATCAGCAGCCTTCCTAGTCCATACTTTAAAGTGTCCATAGTTTTGTATGTCCACACTTTTGGCCGTTTGAACCCCAAACATTGGTGTACCGTGCGATTCTGTCCTCCCCCTGACCCCAGGCTGCAGATGTGGGACAGAGAGGATGTAGCTTTCAGCCTAAGGAGACTCTCGATTGACACCCACTTCATCTTTCCTCAAACTGAAGCGCGACCCTGGCTCACAGCGGACCCCATGCACGCGCCACGCCCGTCTGATCACCAGGTATAAACAATGGACTCTTCTCCAAGAAAACAGAACGTGTGCTGGGCTTCGGTTTTAAATTGCATAGGATTGTGTCTTATCCTGACACATTCGCAAACAAGGCAGCGGGTCGAAGGACGACTGCGACCAGAGCCCAGCGGCACAGCCGCCCACCCACGCCAGCTCCCCCGGAGCGCACGTTCTACTCAGCGGCCCGCGGGCACCAGATCGCTCCGGACCAGCACAGACTGACCCGTGTTTTCTCGTCTCACACAAGCTGAGGGTTAGGGTTAGGGTTCGTGTTTTCTCTTGACAGAAAGTTTGTTCAGACTGACACTCGCGAACCCAACAGCCGGTTCTCCGTCGGTAAACAAGGCGGCTGGACTAAGTCGCGGTCACTCCGGCTGCCCTCACGTCCAGCACAGCCATCGGCGAACACCCCGCGGAGGGCACCGCGCCGGTCATCACGCGCAGCCCCACAGGGAGGGAGGCTCCGGGACACCGGCTTTGTCTGGAGGGCGCAGACCTAACTGACCTCCTAACTCACGGCTCATCGGGGACCCCAGGCCTCCACGACAACAGTCCCGAGGACGAGAAGGCAGGACACGCGTGTCCCGGAGGCAGAAGAAAACCTGGAAACCCCGTCCCCTCCCGGCAGAACGTCCCGGGCCCATCTGACCCGGGCTCCCGGGGGCAGGGGCCGGGTCTGGGTCCTTCGATCCCACGCAGCCCGGCGGCGGCTGGACCACGTGGAAACGCAGGTGGAAACGCAGGTGGAAACGGAGAGAAACGTCCGCAGCGGCAGGTGCGCCTCAGGTCCCGGCGGCCACGCCCGTCCCCGCGCGCCCGTCGCGCGTTCCAGCCCGGAGAAGGCGCCGCAGCACCGACAGCCCCGCCGTCCCGGGCGCCCGAGCGGCCACCCCGCCCGCCCCTTGTGCCCCCGTAGGCTGTCCACTCCCAGGGATCCCCCACGGCCTGGTCGGTCCCCGCCCGCGGTCCGGCGCGCCCGCCTCGCCGCGTCCCTCCCCGAAACCGACGGGGAAAGACGGTCTCGGACATCGACGGTCACGAGCGAGAGTCCAGTCCGTGAGCCGCAGCGGCCGCGTCCGGGGCGGGGGCCGGTCACTCCCGTCCGGGGCGACCTGCGAGCCGACGCGCGTCCCAGACGCATCCCGGCCCCCGCCCTCTCGCGCAGACCGCCGGCCCCGGGGCCCGGCTCCACGGGGAAGGGGCGACCCCAGTCCAGGGGGCCGCCGGCCTCGCCCACACCCGTACTCACTGGCGACCCCGAACCGGTGCCCTCGGCGCCGCGACCGCGCACAACCGCCGCCGACAGGAAGGGCTGCGCGCTGGGCCCGCCCCCCCGAGGCAGGGCGGCGCGGGCGGGGCGCACCTGGGCAGGTGAGGGGGCGGGTGAGGCGACGCAGTCCGGCCCTGAGCGCGCGTCCCGGAACTGGGCCCAGGCGGGCCGACGCCGCCCCGAGCGGACCGCTGCGGGCGGGAGGCCGGCGGGGCTCTCGGGGCGCGGGCGGGCTCCGCTCACCCCCGGTTCGCGGTGTGGGGGGACGGGGGACAGTCCTGACCCTCGGGCACCCGCCCGGGGGCCTGCCCTCGGGGACGCGTTAGCAGCCCCGCGCACCCCCACCGCGGGCTCCGGGCGCCCTCCCCCGCCCTCAGGTGACCCGAGTCCAACCCCCACTGGGCCCGCCCCCTTCCAGGTGACTCACGGCCCCGCCCCCAATCCGACACTCTCCTCGAAGACCCTCCATCTCTCCAAGGCCCCTCCTCCCACCCCCGACCCTTTGCCCCGCCCCTACACCGCCCCTCCCCCGGGCGCCCCTTGGGTCCTCCTGAGGACCGCGGTCCCCCAAGCCTCAGTACTGCGCAGGCGCAAGGCCCGGACGCGCGCCCGGAAGAAGCGCGGGGGCCGTAGTGCGCAGGCGCGGGGGCGGGTCGCTCGAGGTGCGCATGCGTCGCGCAGGAAACGTGCCGACGCACTCCGTGGGCGCCTGGGTGTGCGCGCGGGAAGATGGCTGAGCCGGTGCCGAAGTCGGTGCTGTTCGTGTGTCTGGGTGAGACCGCGCTGGCCCAGCCCCGCTCCGGCTTCCCCAGACGCTCGGGCCGTGTCTCATGGGTCTTGGGCTGCGCCGCTGGGCCAGGGACGGTGATTGGGAGGAGGCCTGGGACGGGGAAACCGGAGGGTGGGCTGGAGCGCCCCGGCTCTCCCCGCCCCGCGCACCTGCCGGCGGCCCTCCGAGCCGGGCCGAGCCGGGCGAGCTTCTCCCTCCCCTGCCCGTTTGCGGGCGGGGGTCCTCTCACCCGCTCGGCCCCGTCCGAGCCGGTGCCTCTCAGCGGCGCAGTCCTGTGCCGGCGGGTCCCCGTCACCGCAGCCTGCTCACCTCGCCGCCCTCAGCCGCGGCTCCGATCCCGCAAGCCGGGGTCCTTCGCACTGCACCCGCCGAGCACCCTGTTTCTCCTTCCTCGAGCGGACCGAGGCCGCGGGGCCGGCGCGTGCCCGCAGACCCATCGCAGCCTGGGCTCGCTGGCTCGTTCACTTGATCCCTGCCTGCAGACGGCGTGAGCTCCGGCAGCCGGGACGGCGAGGAGTCTGGACCTCTCGGCTGTAAAAGCCGATCCAGGGGACCCGGTTCTCCAGGTGTCTGTGTCACGGGACGCGTGCCGCCGTCCACATTAGAACTCACTTTCCCTTCGGGTTCGGGATTCTCTTTGCAGTGGCGCCGCGGGGTTGTACTTCTCAGTCAGTGTTTGCGCCCTGTCCCCTTGACCTCCGGAGAGGAAGGCCTGGGTCATCAGTAGTCCAGTTCCTTAATGTCTTCTGATGAGGCTGCATTTCCCGTGCACCCAAGTGTCCCTTCCTTTCTGTGCTGGCCCCTTGGAGAAGAGGACGCGAGTCTGCCCATTTGTTGACGCTTCCTCTCCACTACCCTTCCCTGCCCGTGCCTTGTGATTTCTGTGTCGCAGCAGTTCAGGGGCTTAACGCACCTCTGTGTAGTTGTTTCTGGGCATCCGTATTGCGTTTTCCTCGGGAAGACTTTCCCTAGGGGTAGAGCCAAATACTCTCTTCTTTGCTTTTCCCAGATCCTCTGAGTGGAAGTAGTTCACCTATAACCCTTTGTAGACCCCTTTCATTATATGACTTTTGTTAAATTACTTGATAGCCTCGTGGGATCACACCTGGGTTTAGCCCTCTTGAGGGCAGTAACTGTGGCTTATTTTTCTGCATTTCCAGTTTGAAGACAATTTGTGACGACAAGTAGGTATTTGCAGAATTGAATTTTTGTCAGGGGAAAAAGAAAAAGGGCCACCTCGCTTCACTTTGGTGGTGGGCATCAATGGATTTTTAAGCTCTCCACTGAAGACTGACTCCCGGGATCAACAGATCGGTTAAGTGGCTGTTCCGCTCATGTTGGGCGTCTAACAGGAGTCCATTGCCTTGTTTGTTTTACTTAGTGTTGTCGTTTATGCGGACATAATGCTCGTGGTGGTTGTTAATGGGGATGTGTACCGTGTATAATGTGTATTTATCTTCCGCACCATTTTTTTTCTTTTTAAGCAACTGCTGTATTACCAGGTACTCTTCTGAGTGCTGGGGATGGGTAGTGAGCAGAACAGGAGTTCCTGCCTCCCACAGCTCACGATCTGTCTCCCACAGCCGAGCCCTTGGTTACTCACTAAGCTGGTGGTGTGTCTCGAACAGTAGAGCAGGGGAGGGAGTGGGAGTGGAACGCACTTTTAAGTAGAGCGGTCAGGGATGGCCTTACCTACCAGGCGACGTTTGGGCAAAGACTTGAGAGTTGAGAAAGCAAGCCTCGGGTCTTTGGAAAAGTGTCCAGGACTCAGAAGAACGCGGGTGAACGGTTTTGAATGAGAGTGCTGATCCGCTTCATATTGGCAGGGAAACCGCTGTGGCCTGGCCTAGAGACCCAGTAGCCTTTTTCAGCCGGACCTTTCTTCTTACCCGAACTCGAAGGTAGTTTGAGTGACCGTTTTGTCGATGCCACCGTAAATACATAACTAGAACTGTTCTGGGTGCATAGGGAAGCTGCTTCCTTACGTAAAAACGAACACTCTGGGGCAGGAGTCTGTGAACTCCTTGTGCAAAGAACCAGGAAGTAAGTGTTTGGTGCTTTGCGAAAGCAGACCTAGACAAAACCTAAACAGTCCCTCGGGACTGTCCCGGTAGACTTCACGTGTGGGCGCTGCAGTTTGAATTCTGTGGGATTTTCTCATGTCACAAGATGTTCTTCTACTTGTATGTTTTTTCAACTGTTTGGAAGGTAAGAATCATTTTTGCTTCCGTGGGCCGTACCCAGAGGTGGTGAGCGTGCATCATCGTTTCCAGATGCTGTTCTAGGGCCCGTGGAGGACATGTCTGGTGAGTCCCCACAAGGGCTTGGGCGTACTTGAAGGAGATAAACCACCAGGGGATGAAGCCACTGAGCCGTGGGGGGGGGGGGGGCACTCAGAAAGACGTGTTCAGCTGCTATGTTGAGATTAGAGAGGGCAGGGGTGAGGCCAGGGAGCAGAGGAGTGTGTGCTGGGTCCGAGAGGGCATCTCCGGTGGAAGTGCTGAGTGGTCCCATGTTGGGCAGGTGTGAGGGGTCCATGAATGCCGTTTCTCACGATACCCTGTAGACACAGAGAGCAGTAAGAAGGGTGTATTTTTGAAATGAAAAAAAAGTTATTCCTTCAAAGCATTTATTTGGGCTCTTTTCACACTGAAGAGTAGAGAGGAGTTTCAGATGTTTTCCTTCAGTAGGGCTAGTGGCAGGAAAGAGCTGCACTCCTTATTTTGGCAAGATTGCTGGAAGCGTGCCGTGGTTGTGCCGTAGAGACGTTGTTGAAGGCTCTGGTGTCTGTGCCACAGCCAGCGCGGTTGGACGTGGTAACCGCGAGTGCTGCCAGTTCACCCGGTACTTACTTATGCTTCAGATGTGCTGCACATTGTGGGGTAAGAGACACAGCCCCGGCCCTTGGAGAATTTAGTTTTGTCCCTTTGTGAGGCTCAGGTACTGAGTACGTATCAGGCTGCCTGATACGGAAGAAACAAACTGAGACTTAACAGATTGAGCTTTTTTCTAAAGAAATGTGAAGATGACATTTTAAGGTTTTAGAACTTTTCCAAAGGTGGAAACTGAATTACTGTGTTTTACTATGAGCTCTGTTTTTAAATAGTGCATTAATTTGGTGATACCAACTTTTGAAAACAAGAGATCAAGTTACAAGGAAGGAGGATTCTGCTTATTTTATAAGTAGTATCACTTCTAATTTTTATAGTAGTAATTTTTTTTTCCATCTCTACTTAAACATACATCTTGCTGTAGGTATAACTATCTGGGAAAAAATATTTATCTGAATGAATATGCCTTGACTTTAAGGCAGTAAATAAACCTAGTTTTTGTTTTGTGGGGAAAGCTGTTATTTTGCAGTTAATAATTATTTTTAAAGGGATGAGACTAGTTTTATTATATCTTTAGGTGTGAGATTGTAAGTGTTTTTTCTGGAGTTTTAAAATAATAACCGCAGGGCACCTGGGGGGCTCGGTGGGTTAAGCCTTTGCCTTCAGCTCAGGTCATGATCTCAGGGTCCTGGGATCGAGCCCCACGTCGGGCTCTCTGCTCCGCGGGGAGCCTGCTTCCTCCTCTCTCTCTGCCTGCCTCTCTGCCTACTTGTGATCTCGCTCTCTCTGTCAGATAAATAAAATCTTAAAAAAAAAAAAGGTAAAATAATAACCGTTGTCTTAAACTGAACAGAGTGGTTGCAGATAAAAGTATTCCCAGGGTGTATGGCGACAGATAAGAGTTACACATCTGTTGGAGCCTTTCAGTAATGAACGTAGCGGGGATGATAATACTTATTTTAAAAAAACTAAGCAGAAGTTCAGAATGTGGTAGGAAGAAACTTGACAATACAAACGAGCTTATAGAGGACGTTGGGGATTAATTCCCATCCGTTTCATGGTTGAGTGGTTGACAGACTCACTGCTGTGGAAACCACAGTCTCTGTGGGGAAGAAAAGTCCTTTATAGATACTTTATAAGGCCCAAGACTAACGTGGAAACGGAAGAGGAGAGCAGTAGAGTCAGCGTCGGGTTCATGTAGCAGCGCGTCAGTCGGGTCTCAGCCCGGCGGGAGGCCCAGTTCCACATGCGTATCAGAAGCCCTGAGATTCTAGCGTGAGTCAAGAGTGACCCGTGTCTTAACTCAGCTCGCGTCTCTTCCTGGTGTTACCTGTGTCGGCCTCTGGAGGCTGTCCACCTGTGACTCCAGGCTCTCCAGCCCTGCAGCGACCCTACCTTGTGGTCTCTTCAGACCTTGCCCTGTGCTGGGCTTCTGCGCCGTCCTGCCCAGTGCTGGACATTCCCTT